TTTTTTTTTTTTTTTGCGTGCGTGTGTGATGTTCTGATGTTTTGAACTAACAATTCAGCTTTTTTTCGACTAGGACTCTGGTACTCATGGACCGTTCTCCCAAAGTCAAAACAAGAGAGACAGTCCAGGAAATCAACTTATTTAGTTGTTGTTACTTTTCCGTATAAAAATAACCCGTTTATCTTACACTAACTGAAGTCGTTTTGTATCTTTGCTGTGCCTTCTCCTTCCTTCCCCACCCTCCCCATGTCACCTCACCTCGGCTTGCCCTGCCTTGCCTTGCTTTGCTACCTCCTGGAAATATGTGGTCTCTCTTGCTTACTTTCTGACTAAAACAAATATTTACAGTTTCTTATTGGGGATCGTGTTCCCCAACTTAACACACTTTACAACTAAAAATAATAAACAAATCGAAAATGAAAAATAAAACACTTGTACTCATGTATGTTCTTTTTTGGAGTTTTATACCAATACTTTCAATGACTTGCCACTTTGTAATACTTACTCTTTTTCATATTTTTTTGTCATGTATGAGGTTTGAATTTGATCTTTCATGCCACACTGAGGAGAAATTTTTTGTTCACTTAATACATTCCTGTCTAGATGCAATTAAAATCAATATACAATTTACTTTTATGAATAGAGTAGAGAAAAAGTGAAAGAATTATACTTAAATAATTTTGGATTGAATGTAAATAAACAAATATTCCTCTCTCATCCTATAAATATGCATTGATGAACTCAGTTGTAGGTCAGTCATTGACACAATATGGTGGAGTGCAACTTAATTATTTGATCGATGAATTCCTGAATCTGTAATGTGATTCTAGTAGAAAAAAAATTAGAAAAGTAATTAGTTTATAAATGTATGTAAGTTAATGACTTTAAATTATAGCCTAAAGTACTCTTGACCCCCAAATGAAACTAATACAAAAGTTTAATTGATATTGGTTCAGTACTTGTAGATAACTCAACATCCTTGTCTCTTTATATTTTATGATAGATTGATATGTCAGATACATAAATATTACCTGCCTTTAATTCAAAATTAGTGGCAGAACCAAAACTTAATGTTTTTAAATTTTATATGATTATTATTGTTTTCAGTTTAAAATAATATGCTTTGTGAATGATGTTTGAAATGTATTTCTTAATAAAAATCCAAGATGTTTGAATTCTTTTGAAGGCTTACAGAGAGTCTATTTTGCTATTAAAATTGTTACTTCTTTTAGAAATTTTTCTTAACAGTTTTTATAAGTTTTTAAGTAAGGCTAATTTGGTAATAATTTATTGGCAGAAAGATAATTTTCTTAAGAGATGGTATTGTGGGACTGCTTCATTGAACAGTGAAGTCCCCTATAAATATATATACCCTTCACCCTATTATTACATACTATACTCTATACTCTATACCATAAGTAACCAGTTATTGTTGACATTGAAAAAACAAAACAAAAAGGAATTAAATGTCCCAAAATATTTATTTACACAAATTTATTTGTAATGTCCTTATGTGTTCTTAAATTTGAACCCATGAGCTTTGAGAATTCTAATCATTCTTTAAAAGAAAGCTGTTTTGTTTCTATTAGGTCACTAAAAATCAAGATTTTTGTAATTTAATTTTTTATTGAAAATGTATTTTTTTTATTAAAATTGAATATTTTTATTTAAGTACAAATTTACATTAAAAACAATTTTTGGGTAATTTATTTAATTGTTCAATAAAGATATAAAGTGCATTATTTTAAAAATTAATTTTAAACGATTTTTAATTTTAATGTGTGACACACATATTTCAAAATGGTTTTGTGATTGTATTGTTGGTTAATGAATTTTCCCTGGTTGAACAGGCCATATTAACTCCATTTTGTTTTATTCTTTTGATTTGTTAAAAAATTACTCATGTATTTCTTTTTTAAATAGATCTCATGTTGTTATCAAATGATTTCCAATAAGTTTCTTGAAAACTCGAATGTTTCCTATGAAAGTGAGCCCAAAATTGCTTATTTTCAGAAGCGCTCGAAAGAAAGTTTTTCAAAAATTGCTCCAACTATTTCAAACAAAATTTCATGTCTGGTTTTATGCTTCAATAATTGTCTTAAAAGTTATATTTCAGTTCTTTCCTTAGGGGACCAACAAATTGATAGAGAAAAAGAAGTTGGCAAAAGGGGGCAACTGGGAAGGGGGTGGGACAAAGTAGGAAAGCTAGCCCACACCAAAGAGATTGGAAAACTATCTAGTATGAGAAAGTCTGTGCCATTGTGTCAGCCGGCTCGATGAAACTTCTATTACATTCTTGGAGATTTTGGTCTTCTATGAATGTGTACACCTTGGGAAGACAGATATGAACACTAACTCAAAATCCATTAAAAATTAATTTGAAGGAATAGAGTGTAATGGGTCATTATATAATGGAATTAAAATGTGCAGACCGGAAACAGAAGAACGCATGTTAAAAATTAACAAAAAACCTTTTCTGAGGCGGTGGGAATTGGATGGCAGAATGTGTTACGACTCGGTGTTGATCAGTTGTTGAGGGAGTGTTCTCCGATTTCGTAAACAAATCCATGGTGTATATTATTAATTGGTAAAAATGTTATAAGTGGAATGGGTCATAAAACTGTGCATGGAAAGGAGGAGCTGCCCTGATTGGAATTGGATTCAATTGAAATGGACGCGAAAATGATGGTCAAGAACGCTGTGGACTCGAACAGGGAAGTTCTTAATAGAGTTATAGAAATTTTTAATAATGTACAAAGACCAAGTTTTGGAATAAATTAGTGAACTTTAAGTTAAGATCAAAAAGAGGTAATGGCCATGCATGCAAAGGGAAGATTTAAGGGAAAATATTAATTAACAAGACGGTTCTTATTGTTGTCATTTTTCGGATTGTATTATGAAATGTTATATATGTTATCTTAAGGTCAGGAAATGCAATGTTCATTTGATTTTTGAAACGTGTATTGTTATTATTAGTAATGGTGAGGAAAACCATCAAATCCGGAATATAAAGAAAGGAGTAAATATTATTATGTAAATTTTCAGAACCGAGAATCTGTAGAGACTATCTTGTCTGCCCTACAACATTAAAAAAAAAATTATCATGACGGATCAACCTCAGCATGTAAATAGGGCAAATTGCATAGTAAATAAGTAAATAAATAAATAGAATAGAATAGAAAGTTAGTAGATTGATAATAAAGTAATTGCTGGGTAGTTCAAGGGACAAAATCCATCAGATTTGACGTCTACACCATAGGAGGTCAGATATAATCACTAACTCAATATCTGTTATAAATTAATGTGAAGGAATAGAGATAGAAAGGATATTTCAAAATAAAATTGAAGTAACTATTTTACATTCTGTGAAATTTAATCTCAACGCTTAGCATAATTAGAATGTTTACTTGCTCACAATAATGGGCAAAGTATTAAACAAACAGTTCAGGGCCTGGCAGTTTGTAGTTGGTCTCCACTGTGAAGATATTTACACTTTAAAAATAATTAATTAAAATGTGTAACATTTGCTATAGTTCACTTAATCTAGGTAATATTTTTATAAATCTTTCTACTTTCTTGTTCTACTTTTGCAATTGGAAATAATTTGAATTTAAATTCTGACCCTTGAGACAAGCTTTTTAAAAATGTGCATTTGTCAATTTCATTAAATACATTTTTAAATAAAATATCATATAATTTAAAAAAAATATTTATATATTTATTTATATCTGACCAGGTAATTGCCCAATATTACAGGTTTATACAATATTTATAATTTGATACTGAAAAAAACTAATATATAAAAATACATTTTAATTGTAATCACAGAGATAATGTTTCTTAATAATATAATTAACAAAGTGACTAATAGAGATAAAATTTATGTCGATATCACAGTTATTATAGTTTCTGCACATACGCAATATAGAAGAATAATAAATAACCCAAATTAGTTCTCGTGAATGGTATAAAAAATGTGCTGTTTCTTTTCTGGGGAATGGGAGGGAGTTCTTGAGATACCCTTGGTTGCTGCCTAAGCCTAGACAACCAAAAGCAATTTATTTATTTACGTCAAAAACAAAATAAACAACAACAATAATCTTAAAAAAGGTGTGTAACATACTGTGGGGAGAAGTGTATTTTGTGCACATTTTCTTAAATTCTGGAATCTCTACCTTAACTCATAATCATGTTGAATTATGAATACAGGTGGATATGAATGTTTTAGCAAAAATCAATAAGGAAATAATAGCTCTCATGCAATGTAAACTTTTGCGAAGGAAATGAGCTCCATATTTTGGCTGTTTTCCCTCATGGTGCTTTCGTTAAGGAAATGACGTACTGCCGTGACAACTCTGAATATGTGTATTTGAATATTGAATGTTAGAAAACGTGCAGAGATAGTGAAGTTACATTTGTGTAGAAGCACAACAACAGGCCATCTCAGCATTCGCTCAAAGGATCAAAACCTAATGGAGATGGGGTTCATTGAGCCAGAGGCTGAATATTGTTTGCGTTATTGTTTCATGATCCTCACTCCTTGAATTTTTGTGTGCTGATGTGCCTGTGATGTTGTTACTTACAGGAATTGGGAGAAATGAGAACAGTTGAATCTTCTGTAAATGAGGAGAGCTCTGCAGTAAGTTTGTCCATCTTGGGCCCTCTTCAAACCCAATGATCTAGTAGAGCATGCTCGTTAGCTGGTTGGCATATAATTTCTGTTGTAGATTGAAGAAAATAGATTTTATATACATCTTTCTGTTGTATTTACATTTTTTTTATAGTTTTCAGTGTTTTTTTTTCTATTTGTAGTTCCTGCTGTGGTAATTTTAAAACTTTTAAGACTGTTTGATTTTTCTGAGGCTCTACATTTATAACTAGTTTACATATAAATTGTCTTTTTCTCTTCTTATATTACTGTTATCTCTGAAGTGTATTTACTGAGAATAGGCGGCATGCGTACTTCATTTGTTGACATTTGTTACCAACATATGGCGTTTGAAGTGCAGAACGATGGTGATGAATTGGTTGAAGTTGGTAGAAATTGTGAAAAACAAAATGACATGTTTAGAGTGATGCCAAAAACAAAACCTTCTCTCATTGATTTAATTTTTTTTTTCCTGTTCAATTATACGTAATTTTGTTATATATCATACATAAGTTTTTGTGGAGATGTTAGAATTCAATTATGTTAAATATTATTTTGTTTTGAAAAGATATATATGAATCAATTAGAATTTTAATAAGCATCTAGTTACTTTTAATATAAATATAGTGTTTTAAGAGAAAGAATGGCTAATAATAATTTTTTTTTTTATTTGTTTAAAGAGGGCGGAATATATCTTACGGGAAGTGCCAACAAATATAATTTGTGTGATTTTGTTGTTTTTGAAGTGTTGATAACTGGAGAATTTGTTGAAGAAATTTAAAACTTGTTTTATGATAATAGGCTGAATTTATTCTATTTGTAATTCTCTATGTATCCATTTGTCAGAGACAAATGATTCACCTTTTTGAATTCTGCGTAAAGTATTATTTTGAATGGTTTGTATTGTAATTATACCACAAATAATTTGTTGTTTTGAAAGTTTAATTAATTAAGTGGTATAATTTTGACAGTTTTTGATAAGTTTTGTTGGTAATATTTTGAATATGTGGTTTCCAGGTTAATCGACAGTCAAAATAAAGTCCTAAATATTTAATTGGAATATTATTTTCTATTCAGGGTATATTTGTATTATTTTGAGACATACGACCTATTGATAGCTTGACTTTGAAGCGTTTTTTTTAATTTTTTTTTTTTTAGTGCTTTTATCTAGCCAACAGGCGGTTACCCCTTATGACCCAAAGGAGCACATATTCAACCATACCCTAGACACCAACACACTTGTGGGCTCCTCTGATCTTTGGTCAGCTGAACACGAGGCCCTCCGCAACAATACATACATTAGAGACCAGGGACAAACAATCATGCCCAAGGCAGGACTTGAATTTGTGACCGTTCAGAACGAATCGCTGAGTCATTTCATAGCTGCCTCGGCTATCCAGGTCGGTGCACTTATGTATTCTTACTATTTATCGTGCAAACATGCAATTATTATATTTTCGGTGATTTGGGTACAAGTAGTAATGCCCTTAATATAAGTACAATACTTGAAATATATGGTGGAGGCTTTGCTACCCGTACAAATATCTCTGACATTTTTTAGAAAATTTGCAAATTTTCTGAATAATTAGCAGGAAGGTCCTATGGTGTTTAACATCTTTTTGAAAATTTCAGCCCTGAACTTTGGTATGGTCTTAATGCAATGGATCTTTGTATGTACATTTAGTTTCCATTTTTATGTTATGATCCCTTTATTTGCACTTTGTCTTCTGAGTTACACTTCTCTTTAGATTTTCTAATAATTTGTGGCACTGGCTTCTGATATTGTAATATACCAATTTGTTATCAGTTCTACAGTTACTTATAAATAGTGTATGAATGATGTTAAAAGTCATAAAAGTAGTCAGCTTAAGGACATATTATTTTAATGTGATCTTGAAACTATGAATATATTGTTTTCCTTGCAGGAGTTGCCTTCAGTTGTTGTGGCTGTTCTTCCAATGAAGGAGGTTGCTGAATCAACAGCAGAAGAGCAGGTAAGCAGGTTACTTCCAGAAACTGACATTAATTGACTCCGCTAAAATCAGTGTCGAGAATGTGATTGTACAGTGCACCAGGTAAGTCTCTCTGCAGTGGCAGTTCTGGGCGAGAGTGTTAGCAACACAAATTATGTGGGTAGCATGAGCTGCAGCTTGTGGAAAAGAGAAATCTAAAATTCATACTCACCACAGTCATCACAGATGCTGGAAGTGTTGTTCCCTTCTCTTGTTTCCCTGTGATCTGGCTGAAACGGAATTTTTAATAGCCCATAATTCGTCTCAGTGCGGAGAGACTTTTCTGGTGCACTGTATTTGATTAGCTCAATGTTTTCACTATCACAAAGGCTATGGCATAATTAAGATCATGAACATTATAAGATAAATTAATCTTTATATTGGAGTTATGTAAGAATTCTTTGTTCTGCCGTAGGATTCTCTTGCTCTGAAATCTTTTTGTGATACTTCTAAGTTCCAAAATGAATATTCTCCAGGTAAGTAGAATGGGTTAATCATAATGCTGTTGTGTTTATAAGTTTTGTTTCCCCTGTACAAGATGAATTGGTGTCTCCAAAAGAGACAGTTTATTTGGACAATAAAACTAAAACCACCAATGAAGAACCACATAGCTGTTATTGTTATAAATTATAATTATAAGTTTGTGTATTTATACCTTAGAGGGAGTTTATACATCTGGTTTAAAGTTTTTCAGTCTAAAGATGAAAATTTGTCCTCCCCTAAACTTCAAAACTTTAAATATAACAATTTTATATGATGAATCATTTCCTGTTCAGGACAATGTTGATCATTTAAAGTGAAGAAATAGTAAGGAAATGTAAGCACTCTGAAAAATTTGGTGATCTGTTGTTAACACTGAATTTCTTCCTGAATCATGATCCAAACGTAACAAGTTACACTAAATTATAAATATTGTTTTAAAAGCCAAAACTACTTTATTTGGCTCGTTCCTACAATGTATTTGGTTAGGATAACAGTTTTGGTTTTGCTTTCACAATTGAAATGATTTTTAACAGTTTCAATTTGAGGCCTTAATTTCAGAATTATAGTGAAACCTGTCTTACAGTAATGGTTCCTGACTAAAATGACTATTAGTAAAAAGGCTTCTTAATTGCAGTAATGAGAATATGTGGAACAGGTGTCTGGATTAATTTTGTTTGGAAGGAAGTGAAGTATGATTTCTTCATTGTCACATTTTTAGTTACTCTTAAAAGTACAAAATACCATGTTTGCACGAGTGTGCTGAAACAATTTTTTTTTCAACATTTGCTTTATGAAGTCGTAGGCTTCCGCGGCCAGAGTCATGTGGGTGATCTGGGCTGTCTGGGTGACGAAGCGTCGAAGGCTGTGTTGTCGACGTTTCAACCATCGTGTCGTGGTCTTCCTCATACCACATTTCACATACCTGCCCTGAGAAAGACCATGACAGGATGGTCGAAACATCGGCAACACAGCCTTTGACGCGACGTCACCCGGACAGCCCAGATCACCAACATTTGCTTTAGTTTCTTTTTCACAAAGTTAATTGTTTATTTTCATTTGTGTACGTTGTCCCAATTTCAGAGCATGCATGAAAATCATTTATTATGTGAAATAGAAATTAAAATACACATGCACACAGCATGTGCAAGCTAAACTCTAGATATCAGTTTCAAGAACTGTGTCTCCTGACATAGGAAGATAGTGAATCAAACTCCAGCAATGTTTTGCTTTTCATACAGCATTAGATATGAAAATCATCATGAAATTTTGATTGTCTAAAACAGATTATTCCACCAAGTGTGCCTCACTGCTAACTGCAGGATCTGGTGTCTACTTAAAAAAGAGGATATTTACTTGTGTCTCATTGGAAAATTAATCAAATAAAAATAAAGTATAAAGAAAAAAAAAAAGAAAAAAAGTTTCACTGTGTTTGTGTTGTGTGTAGGTCAATAAATGATGTTGCAGCTAATGAAATATGATTTGCGTACAGGTCACCTTGACATCAGCAAAAGTGTGAAGATCTGCAATGCAGTTCTTTTAGGGACACATCAGGGAATGCTACAGAGAGAACTAAAGCCAAAAACATGCCAACAAATTAATGTTCAAGAGGATAAGTCTTCTACTTCTACAAAGCTATTTGAGTGTCCAATATGTAAGGCTAGATATTCACACCAACCATCTCTTATTCGTCACAAGCGAATTCATTCTGGCGAGAGACCATTTGTATGTTTGGTGTGCAAGAAAGACTTTGTGCATAATACATCTCTTATTTTTCACATGCGTACCCACACAGGAGAGAAGCCATTTGGGTGCTCAATATGTAACAAGAGATTCTCGCAAGATGGAACACTTCGTGTTCACCTGCGCTCCCACACTGGCGAACGACCATTTGCGTGTTCAATATGTAAGAAAAGATTTGCCACAAAATCTCAGGTGTCTGCTCACAAGCTTGTCCATACAAACGATAAGCCGTTTATGTGTTCATTTTGTGAGAGGAGCTTTGCTAGAAGAATATATCTTATTGAGCACTTGCAAACCCACACAGGCAAAAGGCCTCATGAGTGCTCTATTTGTCAAAAGGGCTTTTCAAGAAAAATGTATCTAGCTACGCACTTACAATCTCATACTGATGAAAAATGACACGAATAAAACAGAGGATGAAATAATATACAGTAGAACCTCATTAATCCAGATGTCTGGATAACCTGGACCAGTTTTGGAACCATAAATAGTATTGTAATAGAAGTTTTGTTTTACAGACCATAAATTGCAAGTTTCAGTAGGTATGTTACTCAAATTCACTTGCCAGCAGTCGAGGTCATTTTCCTCTCGCCACCTGCCAACCCCCCCCCACACTTTTAGAAAAGGGCCACCCGCAGAGGGTAAAGGGGGAGGATGTTTTGGCCCTGGCGATGCTCTGGGCAATGTTAGGATCACCGACTGGTTTTGTGTACAGTGTAAATACACATTATAATGCGTTTTTAGGTGAAAGTATGGATAATATTTTTTAAACTTCATTAAACATATGATGTGTTGCGTCAGAGATACTCATAGGGCACAAAATCATTTCTTTACTAGAGAGCATTTTGAAACTGTGAATCAAACATATTTCTAACCTTTACAGTGATGCAGAGAAGAACATTGGCTTATAACTTCATTTGCCGTTAGGTATCAGTTTTCATCAAGAATGCAGAAACATTTGCTCTACTCTACAAATAAGAGAAGTGAAAACTGCTAAGAGTGTGGCCTATGAGTAATAAATATCTGACGAACCCCGTTATATGTTTGGCAAGTCCATGTTTTTCTTTTTAATCGATTTTCCCTCATTTTCTGGACAATCCAAATTTTTATCAGCCCCAGCCCCAGTTGATCTGGATTAATAAGGTTTTACTGTGCATAAAAGATACTGGGAAATGTAATTTTGATATGATTACAGTACAGTTTCATAGAAAAGTAATTTTTATGAGAAATCTCGCATTAGCAAAAACCACAGTAGTGCCCTAATTCCATGATCACCTTCCAAGAAAAAGTATAATGTGCACATGTGGTTACACAAGAGTGTAAAATATTAGATGAGTGAAAAATCCTGTCTCATGGCCATCAACAGTTTAACATTATTCCAAAGAATCCGTCCCATTCTGTAAAGGAAGAGGCTGAGTTGATGAGACTGTACAAATAGGCGGAGAATGCATATCATGGATAAAACCATTACAGTTTTTGTGTCAGTTGATTTCAACTCGTATTTTTAATAAAATATTTTAAACTGTCTCAAATTATGAGTCTTCAAGTTTTAAAAGGAACCTAACCACATGAAGGTGGCATATTTATTCAATTATATCAATTTAACTTTGATCCAGGCCTCATCCTATTGTCTCTGTGATAAGTTTAAACTGTTTAATGATGAATATTACCAGTATCTAGGTATAGTGATATAGTATAGTGATATTGACTGAGAAATTAGTCTTAAGATTAGTATTGCAATTGTATTAGTGAACTTCTAATTCTGAACAAAAACATCTGTTATTCTGGTTTTGAATTTGAATGAGAATAATTCTGAAGTTCATTGCAGCTCAAAGTATTCAATGACTTGAACTATTTTCCTCTTCAAATTTGAAATGTTAAGGTTTCACCATAACTTCTTGCAGTCTTTCTTCTTCTTCTAGTTTTTGCGTTGAAATCTTCACGGCGTGTTCCATTCTTAACCAGCAATGCAATTGTTTCCTTAAATTGCTATTGCTTATCATATTATCTGAAATGAATTGTCATTTCCAATCATCAATATATTCATCTTATATATGTTATTTCAGAGTCCATAATACTTGGTTTGCCATGCTGGGTTGAAGCTGCAACCGGAAGCTCTGCACAATTTGATTTTCAAATCATTTTCTGTCAGATATTTTCTAACAGATTTGTCTAGTGCCTTCCATAACTCCTCCAAATGTACTTCACCCCCTCAAGTACCCCCAACTAATGTCAAACAAAATGTTCAGAAGATGCAGAAGGAGAAATTTGCAATCCCTTCCAGAGAGAAGTTTGGTCTGATGAAATTGAGACTTCTGTGTGGCTGACTGAGATGTTATTGCATCTGGTGTGAAAGTGCGTCGGTGTAGCTGCTTTTAAATGTTCAGATGATTAGAGCAGAAGTAAAAGACTCAAAAAACAAGAAGATATGGTGCTTTGAGACTTGAGGGTTGTCCTGCCGAACTGATTAAGGAAGCCCGTTCAAGAGAGCTTTCAGATAGGTTACATCCCAATATTTTATAAATGTATAGATGGAAGTTTAGTACCTGTTCCTGTAGACCTGTATGCCATCCATTTATAAAACAACTGCTGTAAAAATGTGACTAGATTGAAGTTAGAAATGTAAGAACATGAACATTTTTATGATCACAGATTGTCTATATACTTTGCAGTATGTAGGTAAACAAGTGTTATTGATTGATACTGAAATTGGGATTCAGAATTGCAATATTCATTGGAAAAAAATATAGGAAATGCGAACTGGATGAAAATACTTTAGAATCCAAGTTTTCATTAGGAAAAGAGCATAATTTGGCAACAAGTGATGTAAAGCCAGCATTATTAGCCGAATTATTCAACCGCACTCTGTGATATTATGGCAGTGAAGCAGTTCCTGGACCAGTGGCTGCCTGGGAACCCTGGTTACTAATGGTGCTGAGCCACTTGCCGAAGGGATAAAAGTCACTGACTGACTAAGATGTGACCAGACAAAAAGACAAACATTTAACAGAACTCCATATTTGTTCAAAGCCCAAAAAGGTCCAAAAAACACATTCCATCTTTGCAAAAAATTAAAAAACAATAAAATGAAGTGTTGAGAATGGGAAAGACCAAAGCCACGAGGATGAAATGTTGCAGGAGAGTAAAAACGTTTTTGGAAACAGGAAACAGTACAGCATATGTTAATATGAGAAGAATACTAACTCACTGCAATGCCTTCTATAGCTTAATCATCATACTATGAAGTGGAGCT